GACACCGCGACTCCCAAAAACAAACTCAAGCAGAAGAGCAAAGACTCAACAGTCAAGAGATTCCATACAAAGACTCAACAGTCAAGAAATTCCATACAAAGGCTCAACAGTCAAGACATTCCATACCCTGCAAGGAACGTCTGCTGCGCGCTGGCCGCAAAGCTGCTTGGCTGCAGACTCCTTGAGCAAAGAGCCGGACAGACTGAAACGGTACCAGTGTTGCACAAACTCAACCCAGAAACATGTATAGGGGGCGTTCTGAGCAGAATAGGGCTTTTTCAAGGCTTTGATGGCTTAATCCTTTTACAAGCGCTTTGGGTTATATCAAAGTGAAACTATACTACGACGAGATGCTATCCTAAAATAGGCAGAACTCTGTACTATCAATTTGGAAGCAGTCAATCGTGACAACACTCGATGAATGGCTAAAGGGCACCCTAAGCGGAAGGATGATTTCGACGCGTTGATGCGTGACACGCCGCTAGGTGATCTTCCAAGGCCATCGACCTGCTTTTCCAGAACACATTGTTCGAGTTGCGAGCCTGGGCCATCGAAGTCATCTGGGAGCCTTATCCACTCCCCGAGCCCACCGGGACCAGCTGATCAAGGCGCCATGCAGGATGGAGCTGCGGTTGCCATGCACGGCGCCCTCCTGAAACTGGACCTAAACCCTGAACATCCCCGGCCCCAAACCCTAAACCCTGAACCAGCATTTTCATGAGGTCGAACCGCAGCTGTCTCAGTGCCTGATCCTGGGCGACCCCCTGCTTGGCCTAGACCCGAGTTCCTGCCACCATGGAACCCAAAACAAAGCAACACCCGCGGCCGGACGGTTTAAGGTTTAGGGCTTCGGGCGTGGTACCGTCACGTCATGGGTGCTGGTGTGTGCACACCCAGGCCGCTCGCACCTGTGCGTACATCGCACCCCAAGACCACCACCCTGAGTTCAAACATTTTAAGGTTTATATCCAAAGTCTTGTAAGCATCCCAGCGGAAATTTTGGCATCGCCGACGATGGTCGTTGTCTTCAACGGGGCCCAGGCAGAATCGAAAGCAGCACTGCATTCAATGTCGGCTTTCTGTGAGTCTGTCTCTTTCTGGGTTGGGCTTTCTGTGAGGCTGTGCTGTCTGTAAGGCTGTCCTGGCCGGTGCCGGAAGAATCAGTAGGCTTTCTGTGAGGTTGTGCTGCTGGATTTGCGAGGAGACAAGCAGCAACCCAAAGCCCCTTGAATTTGCCAGATTTTCGGCACTGTTCCAGCCGCTCCAACTCGTGAGGGCTGGGGCGTGCAACACATGTCCAAAGGATTCATGAGCAATTTCTCCTTCATACCACTCCATGGGAGGTGCCCGAGGGGCCCGCAGGCATGGTGCCAGTCGCCTTGCTTTACCTAGGCGCCGTGTGCGCGTTCTCGGGCCGCTTCGGGCTCCGTGGTGGCGGTTGTCGAGCCCTCAGCGACGACTTTAGTGTTCAGGGTTACGGGATTTAGGCGGGAATTCCTGTTTACAAAATCCTAGGCTCTGAACAAAGTCTAAGCCTTATCCAAGATGGGGGGCTTACAATCTGCGTTTCGGGGTTCGGGGTTTCGGGTTCAAATTCTGGCTGTAGGGGTTGCAGCTTATAGGCTTGGGGTGTAGTGTAGAATTGAATCCTGAATTCTGCCCACTTTTCGGAAACTCCCTTTCAGAATTTTGGACTGCATTAGGAATCCATTCACCCACGAGTAAGTCCTGAACCCTAGACCCTAACCCTAAACCCTAGATCCTAAAGCCCTAAGCCCAAAATCCTAGCCCCTCAACCCTCAACCCTAAGCCCTAAACCCTATGTAAACTCCTCATGCCGCCTGGTTTAGGATCTGGGCTTTAGGCTGCTGCGGCTCCAGACTCTTTGGAATAGCAGGTCGACCCCTTAGCCCCGAAAACTGACGATCGACAGGCAGTAAGACCAGAGTTCACCCGGTTTAGGGTTTAGGGTTTAGGGAGTTCACCCGACCCCTAACCCGAAGCACTAAACCCAAATGCCCGAAATCGGAGATGGGCAATGCTGCTACGGCTCTGCTGCTGCAAGCGTCCCTGCGCAGCTACTGCAGCACCTGCATCTCCCGCAGTTGTTGTGTAGGGCTCAAGGCTCGCGGTTCAGGGTTGAGGGATTATGGCTTAAACATTACCAAAACCTCCAAACCGCAGGTGCAATAATGGCCAAAAACCTGCTCCTTTTGGGGTCCAGGTAGGTTTAACATCAAGGGCCCCGGGCTTCTGGGTTAGACTTTAGTTGTAATGCTTATAGGGTTTAGGGTTTAGGGTTCATTCCTCCAACGATTTCGTCCGTGGTTCTCGGAAGACTGACGACGAAGCCGAAATACTGGAACCGAGTGGTTAGGGTTTAGGGGTTGTAGGGTTTGCTGCGAACCCCGAATCCCATCGACAGCAAAGAAGGGCACAAGCCCCAACTCCTATAAACTCTAGAAGCCTAAACTCTAAACCGCCAAGCTTTCCCATAACACCCAGGTCCCGATCCTCGCCAGAGTCCCACAACCATCCGACTTCTTGTCTTGCATGCCCAAAGCTCGATACGATTTTCTGATATAGCGGCCGAAATACTTACACAGGAGGTTGGATTCTATTATAGCATAGCTTTGGGGACTACAGCGGAAAAATGCTCACTGCTTATTTTTTTCTACTATGCAACCCCTTTTGCGCCAACTTCATATGCCCTGAACCCAAAAATCCGAAATCCTGCAGCCCTAAACCCGTATGGATCCCTTATAGAACCCTTCTGGTAACCCGTATGGAACCCTGAACCCTAAATCTCGGATCATATAAGACCCTAAAGCCCTAGACCCTCAACCCATGGCCTAAGTCGGCGCCAGCAGCAGTAAAGACTGCTGCCGGTGGCGTTTGCACGGCCAGTCGGTAACGCCCTCGAGAGCCTCAGAGACGCGGGGTTCGGCGTTAAAGTATGGTGTATATGAATTTATACTGATGTGTATTGGTTCAGATATATGTATACTAATCTATATGAGTTTGCACTAATTTGTACTGATCTGTAACAGTTTATATTAACCTGCATTAGTTTGTACTAAGTTAAGCATGGAAGTATTAAATTTCTATAAATCTACCTGGTGTCACTTCTTCATTGGTTTTTTGTGCTGGATATTAGTGCTGGTGCTGGTGGTGGTAGTAGTAGCAGCAGTAGCAGTTGTGTTGTTGTGTGTGACACATCTTTCGCATTGATGTCGCCTTTGCTGCTACCACGCTATATTATTGTCGTCATCACGCATGTTTGTTGGCTGTACATATATAGATGTGCATACATATCTTATGTACATGTATATCTATATATATATATGTATACAGATTTGCTTGCATGTCTACATATATATATGTATATATGTATGTGTGTGTAGATGTATACGTGTGCATGCAGGCATGTAGGTATGTAGGTAAGTAGGTATGTATGCATATTGGAGGTCACATGTATATATGCCTATGTACATGTGTAAACTCGTAAACTGTATGGTGCATGCGTGTATGTGATTGTGTAATTATGCATGCATGCATGCATGCAGGTATGTATGTATGTATGTATGTATGTATGTATGTATATGTATATGTATATGTATATGTATATGTATGATGTATATGCATGCATGCATGCATGTAAGCTTGTAGGTATGCATGTACGCATGTACGCATGTGGGCATGTGAGTATGTGGGTGTATAGGTATGTATGCAAACCTACACACATGCCAGCAACGGCTTGGGGTTCAGAAGGCCAACAATCTACGATTCAGCAAGCAGAATCACATCCATACCGCAGGTGTCAAAGGTTGCCATGTCAGGTATTGCTCCCCTTGAAGATTACCTATAGTCTCCATTGTAGTTCCTTTTGGGGGATACCTTATAAAATCCTTAATATATAATTGGTTTAACCAAAAAAAGGAACTACAATGGAGACTGCAGGTATATGATTTCGAAAACAGACCATGGCAACTCCCCTCATGATAACTGAACCTCAAGGCAAAACGTTACAGCACCCTACACGCCATCACCGAATCACACCCTTGAAGAGAGGATCCTAATTTGAAGATTAGCGTTGCAACCTCTAAACCCTTAACCCCAAACCCCCCAACTCCCTAAAACCCTTATAGATCCCTCAAAGGCATGCTTTGATACTCCACTCCACTTTGTCCCTTTTCGACGACTGTCGCTTCCCTGTAGCCGTGAGGCTCAGGGCAAGCGCCCAGCGATTCCTTACGTCGCTGTTCGGATTTGGATGGTTGGGGTGGTGGGGCCTTTGGGTTCACGCTTTGGGGTTTAGGGGCTAGTGTTTAGGGTTTCGGGTTTAGGGTTTAGGGTTTAGGGTTTAGGGTTTAGGGTTTAGGGTTTAGGGTTTAGGGTTCACGGGTTGGGGAGGGTATTTAGGGCTTAGGGTTTAGGAGGGTGTGGGATTTAGGGTTCACGGTTTGGGGACGGCATTTAGGGTTTGGGGTCTCGGAGGGTTTAGGGGGGTAGTGCTTGGTGGTATAAGATGTTTGACTCTTGGGATTCGGATTTTTGGGGCTTATATAGGGACTTCGGGGCTATGGGTTGAGAAAGGTCTCAGAGTTGGGGGTTTAGGGTGTTGGGTTTGCGGTTTAGGGCTTAGCCAAACCCTAAAACCATAGGGTCTAGGGCTTTGGTTTTAGAGTCTTGCGCCCGTAGGTTTTCAGGGCTGGACCCCGACCCCCCCAACAAACTCTTTGACCGAAAGCTCTGGATCCTAAAACCTAAACCCCTAAACCCTAAACCCCTAAACCCTAAACCTGTCTATTCTTTCTGCAACGGCTTTCAGAGGTTCCGGGATCCAGGATTTCAGGTTTTTAGGGCTTAGGATTTTATGTTTCAGGGTTAGGGCGTGGGATTTTAGGGTTTAGGCTTTCGGGGTCAGGGTTTCAGGTTTTCGGGCTCGGGGTGTATGATTTTTGGGGTAAGGGCTTCAGGTTTCTACCCTTTGTTGGTACATCTTTTGGTCTAGGCTCGTTTCGTCACCCAAAGCCAGGGGCAAGTCTGGCTGATTCACGACCACGCGCACAAAGACCTGCAAAGCAATAACGGGGGTTCAGGCTTTTAGGGTTCAGGAGCTCCTAAGCTCCTGGCCTCTGGCACCTTCCTCCTGCATAGCCGAGGCTTCGGGAAGTTTTCAACCCTGCAAACCTCACATCCCACACCCCATATGAACCCTGAAAGGAGCCCTTAAAGGAAGCCTTAATAGAGCCCGTGGAAGATCCCTAAACCCTCGAAAGCGAAGTAGATCTTCCCGGTTTTATACCGAAGGGCGACATAAAGACCTCATAAGACTAGAAGTAAGGCTGCTAGAATGGTTTCTTAAGGATCGAGTTATAAAGGTTGCTACCAGAGTGTTCTAAATCAAAGAAGCCTACAAATTGGGAGTGGAGTTCTGGGTTGTTGAGGCCTTTGTGTAGATAAACTAAGGACCTTAGTTGCTTAAAACGCACAAACGCAAACGCTTGCGATTTTAAAACACAGCCCTTGCAATGCCCCAAACGCACCTTACTTCCTCTTCCCCGGGAGTTCCCAAACGCAAAACGCTAGCGATTCGGGCAGGACGCTCCCAAACGCAACCCACGAAAAATCATCGGTGAGTGATAGGATAGGCATAGCCAACGATTGGCCAATCAGCTAAATGATTATTTTGTCAGAAGAATAAATCATTGGCGCTCTCCGCAGCTGAAAATTAAAGTAAGGCTTATAGGGTTACTTTGGGTTCTTCGGGACCAAGGATGCAGAACAAGGGGCTTAAACGCCGACAATCGCAAACCCGAACCAAAAATCTCACTAAACCCTATCCTAAACCCCAACTGGACCCTAAATAAGCTGCCTTCTCCAGGACTCAGAGCTAGGAAAGCCTACCCTCCGAATTCAGGTTCCTTAGAGTTCCTCGCAGGGGGGAAGACTCAAGTGGGCCTCAGACATTACTTGGAGGGTCGGGGCACTTAGTAAGTAGTTATTTTAGGAAGTAGGGCAATATGACAGGGTTTATCGGTTAGGTGAGATTTTACAAGCCACTAGACTGGGACTTATATTAGCAAAATGCGCCGAAACTACTTATTGCGCACACCCCAGATCAAGCACTAATTGATTATTTTGGGACGAGGAATAATCATTGGTGAATCTAGCTTTTACATGATCTACGGACCTTGTAGGTTTGGTTCTTATAGGAGATTGGAATCCCAGGTCTAGCGGATTGCGGGTGCCGACTTCCAAACGCTAGCGATTGGGGGTTTGTCATAAACGCTAGCGATTTTAAAACGCAGCGATTTCAGCAACTAAGCTAAGGACTTTAAGCCGATGTTATTGCTACTTTAAACAAACATTAGAGTAATGAGCAACCGAGCTGTCATGACAAAATCAACTATCAGTATTTCTGCGGCCCTAAACCCTTAACCCTTAACCTTCCGACCCCGCCATTAGCACTGCAATCCAAGATGCTGTCCTCGGCTCCGAAAACGGTTTAGTAAACAGAGCTTAGGAATTCAGGAGGAGTTGTAAGGCTTCGAAATGTAAACATCTTATGCAAGGTTTGGGTTGTCGCCGGCTTTGGCTTTGAAATCGAGGTCATAGGATTTAAGCGTTTGTTTTGGGCTTGGGGTAAGAGAAGCTATTAGGGGTTTCGGGCACAGGGGTTGGGAGCATAGGATTCGTCCTGCTTTTCGTTTGCAGCTTCTCATTCCGGCGAGCCATTGCAGCCTACATTCCAATAGTGCACTCTTTTCTAGAATTACACTGTTCCATAACCCTGCAGAACCCTGCATCCCAAACCCCCGAACGGCAAACCCCAACAGACCTGAAGCCTAAACCCCAAACCCTAAGACCTAAAGCCCCACACCCTGAACCCTAAAAACCCCTAAACCCTGAACCCTACACCCTAAACGCCCCACACCCCCTACCTTGGGGACCAAAGGACACTTATAAGTAGGGGCCCTGCACCCTCATACTATGAACCCCTATATGGTATATGAACCTGAGACCCTTTTGAGGTTCATGTCGTCCTTAAGGAAACCCTAAACCCCAAACCCTGAACCACCCTAAAAACCCTAAACGGTGAACCCTAAACCCAAAACGCCCCACAGCCTGAACCCTAAGCCCTAAACGCCCCAGACCCCCCGACCCTAAACCCTAAACCCAAAACCCTAAACCCTAAACCCTGGAGCCTGTGATCCTGCTGGAATCAGCTCGCCGGCTCTCAGGCCTCAACCCCAAAGGGTCCAAGTACCATTATACGGTTTAGGGTTTAGGGTTTAGGGTTTAGGGTTCAGGGGTTTAGGGTTCAGGGGTTTAGGGTTTAGGGTTTAGGGTTTAGGGTTTAGGGTTTAGGGTTTAGGGTTAAGGTACTTCGTAGGTATTTGGGCCCCAAAAATCTATACTATCCTGGTACTTGGACCCTTTGGGAACAGCATTCTCGACGTTTCTACAAGGAGACTTCACCCCGAAACCCTACTTTAACCTACCAAACCCTACTTTTTTGTAGGGTCCCTATCAATTCCCTATTAGGGATTATGATGAGAAACCACAAAAAAGTAGGTTTTGGTAGGTTGATGTAGGCCCTAAACCCTAAACAGAAGGAGAAGAAGACAGACAGGACCTTGTTGTACTTTTTGCAGACGTCGACGCAGCTGCAAACTGCAAGCCCATCGAAAAGGGCATTTCCTACCGGGGGTGAGTCAGACACAGCCTCCAACAAACCCACAGCCGGAACCGCAACTGTCGGCAATGGCTCTGCCGCTTAGGGCTGCTTGTGCGATTGCAACCCTAAACCCTAAACCAGAAACCCCTAAACCCCTAAACCTTAAACCCCTAAACCCCTAAACCCTAAACCCCTAAACCCCTTAACCCCCAAAACCCTCAAACCCTAAACTGTGGGCTTCGCAAGGGCTTGCTAGGTCGTAGAAGGCAGGACACGCCTTTCAAACAAGAGCCTTAAGGTTGGATTTGGCCAATAATATAGGGCCCTTAATAATTAGAATAGGGTTTGAGGTATATTATACTAAAACTATAATAAGGAACGCCCAAAACAATATGGGTAATACGAAACCAAATCGCATCCTTACAAAGAGCCTCTAGTCTACAAGGGGCCTCCCTTACCGCTCCACCTTACTTTCAGGAAGGTTTCGGGTTTAGGGTTTAGGGTTTTGGGTTTAGGGTTTAGGTAGCCCTAAATGCCCTAAATCTCTGCCACGGTAACCCTTTGACGACAATACCTTCATTCATAAACCTGCGAATTCCTAGGATCCAAACATCTCCGAACGCAGCGACTCGCAACACCTCATGTAGACCCCTTGTTATTACAATTTTTATTTATGCGGGGAAGCCTGATGAGCTTGGTGACACCCCTAAACCCTAAACCCTAAAACCCTGAACCCTAAACCCTAAAACCCTGAACCCTAAACCCTAAAGCCCTGAACCCTAAACGCATCATATATGCGGTCAGTATTTGCCTCCCCTAGTCTGTCCTGGCCGGGTGGGTGCTTCCACCCGCCGAGACAATCTCAAAGGCGGTATTCGAACCATCCACCGTGTTGCCCTAGAAGGGCTACTATAAGGGTTTAGGGTATAGGGGCCTTAATAATTTAGAATCGGGTTTTGGAGGTTCCTTTAAAGGGATCCTTAGAGGGTTCTATCTTCAACATCTCCTCCATCATGCCCGGCTTGGAGCCAAGTAGGCGCCTCTCGGCGCAATCGCCTCATAACGATTTCCCTAAACCCTAAACCCTAAACCCTAAACCCTCAACCCTAAAAACCCTAAACCCTAAACCCTCAACCCTAAACCCTAAACCCTAAACCCTAAACGCCACTCTTCGGAGTGACCAAGATATCATCCTGCGAGGCCCTGGCGAATTCACGCAGCCCGGTCTGGCCCTCTGCAACTAACGTAGGGGCCTTAATAATCAGGATAGGGTTTGTGGGCATATCATCCTATACATATATATATATATATATATATTATATAATATATATATATATATATAGTTGTACTAAGGAACCCCCAAAGTAGTATAGGTCATGATTTTTGGCCCCTATGTTACTTCAGGCCTCCTCAAAAACTGGATTTGTATGTGCAAGCCAGGTCTCAGGTCCCGGCTTAGGGTTCGACGTGGACACTACGTGGTACCGGCAACCACGAGTTTCGCAGAGTTCTGTGAGGCTCCAGAAACTTGCTGTGGCATCTTACACCCTTCCTGTCTAATTTGTTCGACTTTCGGACAACCCCATAAACCCTAAACCCTAAACCCTAAACCATGCGGTAGGAGGAGGGCTAAACCCTAAACCCTGAACCCTCAAGAGACCATGCGGTCCGTCTGGGAAGGCCGGGCTTTTGGAGCTGGGAGTTGAGATCTAGTAAGGCAGGGGCCTAATAGACACTAGGATCCGTGTGCGAATACCAATTTGGGTACGGGCTTATCAAGTTCAGGGTCGACTTTTGCATGAATGACGGTTCTTTATCGGGCTCACTCAGCCATTACTGGCCCTAGAAACCCCTCAGGCCCCTGCTTGGCTAAACTGAACCCTAAACCGCATAACCTCTGAAAGCCTAAACCCCATCTCCTACACCCTAAACCCCAAACCCCTAAAACCCTAAACCCTAAACCCTGCCTAAAGCTTTAAGGGCCCAGCTGTACGTGCATCCATTTCCGAAGGACCAGCCTCCAGTGCCCACCTTTGGCTTCCGGGTGTCAGGGTCTATACCTTAACCTACCAAAACCTACTTTGTTGTAGGTTCTTATTATAATCCCTTAATATGGAATTTATAGGGACCCCTACAAAAAAGGTAGGTTTTGGTAGGTTACGGTAGGGTCTAGAGTTGCAGGATTTACCTTGACCCCAAATAACCTGCCTTTTCAGCGTTCTCTATTCTAGTTTGTAAATATATATATATATATATATCCTTGAAAAGCTAGCTTCTTCGAAGTTGAAGTTAGGGTCTACAGGGTCTCGGTTTTAGGGTCTCTGGGGTCTGCGGTTTAGGGCTTCAAGTCTTGGGGTCTATAGGGTCTGTCTAGGTTTTAGGGTCTTTGGGGTGGTTTAGGGTTTCCGGGATTGGGGCTTACATACTGCCTAAACTGCAGCGTTTGGGGGCCTTTAGCTGGTTTAGGGTTTGGGTTTAGGGTTTCGGTTTCGGGCTAGGCTTTAAGGTGCGAGTGTTTGGAGGGGGGGGGGGGGTATTAGGACTTCCCAGACCCAAAACCCTAAACCACTGATAGGTGTCTCGAGTTTCTGGTAGTTGCACAGATGATTCCGCAAGCATGCTCGACTGTCGCATTCTCACCCCAGCCCCAAAACCATAACTCCTAAACTCAAAAAGTCCCAAATCCTACACTCGAAACCATCTATCCTAAACTCGAAACCCAAGAAGCCTAATCCCTGAAGCCCACGGGGCTGCTGCCGCTTGCGCCCGCTTCACAACATTCAGAACCGGTGACCCTACTGCATACACTGAAGGCGGTGGGGCCTTTAGGGTTTAGAGTTCAGGGTTTAAAGTTTAGGGTTTAGGGTTGAGGGCTTTAGGGTTTACCCTAACCCGAAAGACTTGTATAAGGAGTTCATGAGAAGGAACCTGGAGAAGGTAGGTTTTCTAAATTCCAGCTAGGGATTGGGTCCATAATCACAACCCTAAGCCCGAAACCCCAAAACCCTAAACAAGAAACCCTAAACCCTATACCCTATAAGGTTCGACCCGACAGCGCAAACGCCCAGAGTCGAAGCATGTGACCGTGTTTACGGTTTAGGGTTTAGGGTGTTTAAGGGGGTCGAAGGGTTGTGGCTTTAGGGCTTGAGGGTTGTAGGGTTTAGGGTCTGGGGACTGAGGCTAAAGGTTTTAGCTTTAGGCTTCAGGGTCCGGGGTCTGAGGTCCAGGGTTTGGGCTTCGCGCTGCATGGCTTAGGGTTTAAGGCTTGAAGGCTGGAGGATTTACGGATTAAGGGTTGGGAGATCTCCAGATCGTAGAGTTGAGGCACCACCACAGAACCCAGAAACCAACATATTCCGAATTCCACAGATTCAGCAACTACAGCGTGGCACATCCTCCAATTGCAAAACATCACAAAAACATGATAAACAAAAAACACACACAAAACATCGATGCACCCACCTCTGGCAGATCACCGCGTCCTTGTGGAACGCTGGAACCGAAAATGCCTCAGTTCGCGACTCTGAACCCTATACCCCTTAACCCTAAAGCCCCCAACCCTAAGCCCTAAACCCTATACCCCTAAACCCTTAAACCCTAAACCCTAAGCCCCCAAACCCTATACCCAAAGCCCGTAAACCCGAAACCCTTAAACTCTAAACCCTAAGCCCCTCAACCCTTACGGGTGGAAGGTCGAAGGCTTCGGCTCTAGGGTTTTTTTCGGTGTAGACTTTGCCTTTACCCCGAAGGACCCTACCTTTTTCAGGGCTTCGATAAGGAAGCCCTATAAACCCTAAACCNNAACCCTAAACCCTAAACCGGAAAAGGACTTCTATAAGGAAGCCCCTATTAAGGAGCCGCCTGTTTCAGGACTTCTGTAAAGCAGCCCTAAGAGGGAGCCGCCTCCTCAAGGACGTCTATAAGGAAGTAAGGGTTTAGGGTTTAG